TTAACACAAGCCTTTCCATGTAAGCCAACTGATCAAGCTGCCGCTACAAAGGGACTAGAACAGTTAAGTGCTATGTATGGGTACCCCTGTCAAATAGATAGCGATTGGGGGGGGGTCACACTTCAAAGGACATGATGCATAGGAATGGGCAAAAGAACATGTTATTAAATGGAAATTCCACCTCTCACATAACCCACAGACAGCTGAGTTAATGGAACAGGAAAATGGTATTCTAACAACAGGTAAAAATTACTAACTGGAAAAATTACTAACACCCGGTAGACAAAGATACTTTCCCAGGCGTGTACGCATTTAAATAATCAACCGATGGGGCCTATTGCCCTATATGCCAGATAAGGAACTCAGGCTGAGACACCCAATATGGTCAAGATATGGAAAACAAAGGACACAGCAAAAGTCCCGACACTGGCACTGGATGAATGATCTCTGATACTGAGCACGCCAAGCCCTACTGTCCCTGGAAAGGGGACTGTTTTCTGGAATCTGTAATAGGACATCTCACTAGCATGCATCGTAGGCTTCACGCCCATGGTGGGGAGGAACTGCTCAGTCTCTGGTGGGATCCTGTTAATCTAATGTAATCAGGACCTGTGGAAACATGGGATAGGTGGACTTGGATATGACTCCTGGAAGAGAGAAGGTAGGGGTCCTAGTCTAGCATATTCCCCTGCCTATTCACCTCTTAGGCTCAATAGTGCCACCTCCCCTTGCCAACATAACATGGTTTACACAGCCTGGCCAGATTCCTAAAGCTCGGGCCACATTAACATCTGAAGACCAGGCTACAAGTGTAATTCTTATAGAAGGAGAAAATCTCCCATTCAAGTCCCTACAAGTATTTGCCTTTCCAACCTTAGACTGGCGTGACTGTGGTATCTCATTACAGATGGGGAATTTGATGGAAACGTCTTCTTGCAATGGGCTCATTCTTGGAAGATGCAATCATCCCCATAGGAACCCTGACTAAGTTTACTCAACAAGCTCTCAGTGATAGTCCACAGTCTGTCCTTGTGAAATACTGAAATGTCACTGAGAAAAGCTGTTCTACAAAGTAGGATGGTGTGGGAGAAGCACGGGACTTGGTTGGAATGTCCATAAGGAGGATTCTCTGAAAGGTCGGGGGAGGGTGGGGGCAGCCTCTGCAGGGACCTTGCTGAAGGCAGCAGCCCCTACCTTGACTTTTCCAAACAAGTCTGATCCCCCGGGGGTGTTTTGCTAGAATCTCTGTGTAGTCTTTAAAGATCCGAACTTGAGGAAGCATATCCTTTCCCAAGGATACTTACCTTGCTGATTGTATCTAGAGGTTAATTTTAATTCAAGCTGTTATGAAAATAAAAACTTAAGGAGGCAGGCGAACAGGTTTACTTGGTGGCAATAGCCAAGTAGTGCCTTAGCCCTCTCTTTTACAGAAATGTGTGTTAGAGTAATCTGTTCATCCATTGCTCAGGGGCTGCCAGTCAGCCCCGGCAGGATGGCCTTAGGTATCATTACAGATTCACAAGGGGGCTCCTGTGCCATCATCCAAACTAAATGTTGTTTTTACACCAGATGAATGCACTCATAGCTCTTCTTTGTTTACACATGAAAACCCAAGTAAATGCCGTAAGTGACCCAACCCCCAAGCCAAGCTGACTACTAAACACACAGGTTTGGGTCTTTGGAAACATGGTAAAAAAAATCATTACTAATACTTGGACTGCTCCTCTCAATTTGTCTATTTTCTTGCATGTGTCTGTATTTTTGCTGACGAATATGTCTCCAATGCAGTCAACTGACAACACAGCAAACTGTCTCCCTGCTACTGAAGCCCCTGCTGACTGCTTAGGGTACCTGGCAAAGGAGGGGGCATGTGAAATTCTAAGAGCTGGTCAAGAGGGGTGGGGTGCAAAGGAAGTCTGCTTGGGTCCCACAAGCTGGACCCAGTCAAAAGGGACAATGTTCATCATGAAACTCACTTGAAGACTGTTTTGATCTTAATCACCACGTATTTTGACACAAACCAGTGCCCATCTTCTGCCTCCTGGTACAAGCTTGATCTGGAAACATTCTCGTTGTCCTGAGCTGGCCAAGCATGTAATGCAATTTCCCGTACCTGATATCAGTCACATACTTGTACACATGACTATCCCTATACTTCCCCAATATGATTCTCTGGTGCATGCTAAGTGGTTCAAGGAGCCATTTCACTTTGCAGCCTCCCTTAATAAACTCTATTAATTACCAGGCTGGAGTGGCCAGCTTCTTTCTTTTGTATTTCCCTGCCATCCACTCATGGAAGTACATTTTCAGTGCCAGGATCTTCCCCTGGGTCTGCAGGCACTAACAAGGTGATTATTAATAAGACTGCTATAAACATTTGTATGTAGGTATGTTTTATCCTTCTGCCCATTTTTTATAATTTTTAATTTTTTTTTATTGTTGTCAGTATTACAGATGTCCCAATTTCCCTATTTTATACCCCTCCACCCAACTCCCACCCCACCCCAGACCTTCTCCACACTATTATCTGTGTCCATTGGTTATGCAATTCTATATAATAAAAGCCTAATATGCTAAGTGTCCGACCGTTAGCTTGACCATTTGACCAGTTGCTATGATGTGCACTGATCACCAGGGGGCAGACGCTCTGACTGGTAGGTTAGCTTGCTGCTTGGGTCCAGCCGATTGAAACTGGGCGAGATGGCCCCAATCGGCACTGATGGCCCCATCAGGACTGGGTGAGATCCCTGTAGGCCGGGCCGAGGGACTCCAGAGGTGCACGAATCCATGCACCGGGCCTCTAGTATGCATATATGATCTTTGGTTAATCTCTTCCTGTCCTATCCCCACACCCCACAATGAGATCTGTTATTCTGTTCAATACATCCATGCCTCTGGACATATTTTGTTCACCAGTTTATTTTGTTTATTAGATTCCACATATAAGTGAGATCATGTGATACTTGTCTTTCTCTAACTGGCTTATTTCACTTAGCATAATAGTCTCCCAGTCCATCTATGCTGTCCCAAATGGTAAGAGCTTCTTTTTACTGCTGTATAGTATTCCATGGTATGAATGCATCACAGCTTTTTTTATCCATTTACCTATTGATGGGCATGTAGGCTGTTTCCAGATCCTAACTATTGTAAATAACACTGCTATGAACATAGGGGTACATATATTCTTTCTGATTGGTATATGGGGGTTCTTAGGATATATTCCCAGAAGTGGGATTGCTGAGTGGGTACATAGGGTTTTTGTGTGAATATAAGTTTTTAAATCAGTTGAATAAATGCCTAAGAGTACAATTGCTGAATCATATGGTAAGAGTATGTTTAGTTTTTTAAGAAACTGCCAAACTGCCTAACTGCCATGGCTCAGTGGTTGAGTGTCAACCTATGAACCAAGAGGTCATGGTTCAATTCCTGGTCAAGGCACATTCCTGGGTTGTGGGCTCCATCCCCAGTGAGGGGCATGCAGGAGGCAGCCGATCAATAATTCTCTCTTATCATTGATGTTTCTCTCTCTCTCTCTCCCTCTCCTTTCTTCTCTGAAATTAATAAAAATATATTTTTTTAAAAAAGAAAGTGCCATTTAAACTGTCATTTAAAGTGGCTGTACCATTTTTCATTCCTATCAGCAATAAATGAGAGTTTCTGTGTTTGTCCACATCCTCACCAGCATTTGGTATTGTAATTTAAAATTTTTTTTAAGCTTTTCTAAAAGGTATATAGTGGGCCCACATTATTGTTTTAATTTGCAATTTCCTAATGACAAAAGATTTCGGGCATTTTTTCATATGCTTATTTGTCATTTGTATATATATTTTGGTGAGTTATCTTCAGATTTTTTTTTGCCAGTTTTTAAATTATTTATTTAGTTAGTTTTAAATTTTTCTGTTACAGTTGATATTCACTATCCTATATAATAAAAGGCCAATATGCAAATTGACTGAACAGCAGAACAACCACCGGGAGCAGACACTCAACACAGGAGCTGTCCTCTGGTTGTCAGTGCGCTCCCACATGGGGAGTGCTGCTCAGCCAGAAGCTGGACTCATGGCTGGCAGTGCAGCGGCAGTGGCAGGAGCCTCTCCTGCCTCCACGGCAGCCTTAAGGATGTCCAACTGCTGGCTTAAGCCATTAGTCAGATATCCCTCAAGGGCTCCCAGACTGTGAGAGGACACAGGCCAGGCTGAGGGACCCTGCCCCCCTTGAGTGCACAAATTTTGTGCACCAGGCCTTTAGTTATTTTATATTAGTTTCAGGTGCAGAGCATAGTAGTTAGACAATTACATAATTTACAAAGTGATTCCCTTTTCAATAATTCAAATACCCACCTGGCATCATGCATAGTTATTACAATACTAGAGGCCTGGTGCACGAAATTCGTGCACTCTGGGAGGGGGGGTCCCTCAGCCTGGCCTGCGCCCTCTCGCATCAGGAGCCCTTGGGGGATGTCCGACTGATAGCTTAGGCCTGCTCCCCTAAGCTGGCAGTTGGACATCCTTAGTGCTGCCTCGGAGGTGGGAGAGAGGTTCCTGCCACTGCCACTGAGCTTGCCAGACATGAGTCTGGCTACTGGCTAAGCGGCGCTCCCCCTGTGGGAACGTACTGACCACCAGGGAGCAGCTTCTGCATTGAGCGTCTGCCCCCTGGTGGTCAATGTGCATCATAGCGACTGGTTTTCCACCACTCCCTCAATTTGCATATTAGCCTTTTATTATATAGGATTATTGACGATATTTTCTATGCTGTATTATACATCCACATAACTATTTTGTAGCTAAAAAATTTGTACTTCTTAATCCTTTCACCTTTTTCACCCAGTCCCCCATTTCTCCTCCCCTTTGTCAACCATCAGTTTGTTTTCTGTATCTATGACTCTGTTGCTGTTTTGTTTATTTTGTTCTTTAGATTCCACATGTAGGTGAAATCATATGGTATTTGTCTTTCTCTGACTGACTTACTTAGCATAACACACTGGCTTTTATTTGTAGGTACTCCACACAGGATAAAGCACAAAAATAAGGAGACAGCTGTATTAGGAGGAAATGTGACAATTTTCTGCAATCTAACAACTCCAGCAGATGTCGTACAAATTACCTGGCAAAAGGTCCAAGATTCTTTGCCACAAAATATTGGCACATATAGCAGTAAATATGGAGAAAAGATTCTTCCACCATACATAGATCGACTGCACTGCAAGGTCATCGAACCCAATTCCTCATTCATCACTATTCGCAAAGTGACATTTGAAGATGAAGCCTGCTACAAATGTCTATTTAATGTGTTCCCTCATGGAAGTCAGGAAGGACAAATCTGCCTTACCATTATAAGTATACAATTTTTTATGTAGAGTAAAAATCATGCGGATGTGGTCTTTGAAGGTTAAGGTCCAGAGAAAGAATGTTGTTTATTATTATTATTATTATTATTATTATTATACAGAAGAAAAAATGGAAGTTAATAATGGTTACATAAGTTGCCCATTTTCACATAGTGCAGAACCAGGCATAGCATTTATTCTGCCCTCTATGTAACTTTTATGCACTGACTTTAATCAAGTGGGTAAAATTCATGAACCACATCAAGATTTTCATTAGGGAAAGAAAGGAAAAGGAAAAGAAATAGTAGAGAAGGAGGAAGAGGGAAAAAGAAGACTCTAAGAGAGTAACAATTTCCCAATTTTCATATTAACAAAATGTTGAAGGGATAGCGATAGTGTTATAGTGTTACCTCATTATGCTGCTATACATTTAAAATAGTGGGGTTTATATAATGTAATTTTAAGGTTTAGTGAATGTGGAGTAACCAATTGTTCTTAAATTGGATGATAGTAGATATAAGAAAAGGAATGATGAGATTTGTTTTTTAATTGTGTTGAGAGGTATCTGAGAGGGACATGTTTTTAACATTTGGGTTTTATATACAAACTAGAGGTCTGGTGCATGGATTCATGCACCGGTGGGGTCCCTCGGCCTGGCCTGCACCCTCTCGCAATCCAGGACCCCTTGGGGGATGTTGGACTGCCAGTTGCAGATCACAGGGCCTCTAATATGCATATAAGATCTTTGGTTAATCTCTACCCATCCTCTTCCCTCCCCACTTCCCTCTGAGATTCATCAGTCTGTTCCATGTTTTCATGCCTGTGCATTGAGTGTCTTCCCCCTGGTGGTCAGTGCATGTCATAGTTACTGGTCGAATGGTTGAATGGTCATTTAGGCTTTTATAGAGAGAGATTTGGGAAGTTGCCATCATAGAAATCTGGTATGACATATTTTTATATTTAATTTTGTTTCTTCTCTTTCTTTTGTTTTTTTTCTTTGTGCCTCAGCTGTATCTGAATTAAAATCTGAACTACAGTTCAATCTTGGCTCTGAAGATTTTCTTAGATATACTTACTCAGCTGTGGGAAAGCCTGTTCCTCAAATATCTCTCTTTCCATCACAAGTCTTAATTAATCCACCAAAAGAATACCTTGCACAGAACGCAGATGGCACGGTGACTATCACTAAAATGTACAACGTCTCCTTGGAGACTGTGAGATCCCTGGGACTCCAACACCTGATTGTGCACATGGATCATCCTCTAAGGAATGAAGAGAAGATTGTCCCTTTGTCTTTCACACAAGAATGTAAGTAGAAGTAATAATCAACAAGGAAAAATATTTATCTTTAAAATTCACTACCAAAAGTGTTTGTGTAGTCATCTACTTTTAAAAATGTAAATCAATGTAATACACCTGCATGGCTAAAGAAATAAATACTGAAGATGTTCTCTAACCCAGCACTGCTTCCAGGGGTAATGGCTCTTATGGCGCATTTTTAATTGTTCTCTCCTGCATGCTTTCCCTGAATTTCTGCCAGTCAATGAAGATTAGGCCATTTATACCTCCTTCAACTTTTCTGCTTCCCAATGTAATTGGTTTGCTTCCAATATGGTTATTTTGCTCCTTACCTCTGCAACTTTCAACAGCATGATTAAACCTGTTCATTGTTTCATCCGCATATAAAGTCTCTCTTCGCTGCTCATTTTTGCTTGTCCACTTTCCCCTCAGGCTCTGTCAACCATCCATATCTTCTGTTTCAGAGCCATAATTAAGCAAGGTATGATTTCCCTAAGAATTTTAAATAATAATTTAAATAAATTTAAGTAATTTATAAATATATTTGTATATTTAAATAATATAATTCCTTATAGAATTTAAATAACTTTTTTACATTCCACCTAATAATCTTTTATTTATTTTTTTAAATCTTTAATGTTGAAAGTATTACTTATGTCCTCTTTTTTCCCTATTGACCTCCTCCAGCCTACCCCATCCCAGGCCCTCACCACCCTACTGTCTATGTTCATGTGTTATGCATATATTCATACAAGGTCTTTGGTTGATTACCTCCTACCCACCCCACCTTCCCTCCGAGAATCTGCACTCTATTTCATGCTTCCATGTCTCTGGATCCACTCCCTTCATCAGTTATTTTGTTGAATTAGATTCCACATATGAGTGAGATCATGTGATGCTTATCTTTCTCTGACTTATTTCACTTAGCATGACACTCTCCAGGTCCCTCCATGCTGGCTCAAAGGGTAAGAGATCCTTCTTTTTCATTACTACATAGTATTCCATGGTATAAATGTACCACTATTTTTTTATCCACTCATCTCCTGATGGGCACTTGGGCTCTTTCCAAATCTTAGCTATTGTAAATTGTGCTGCTATGAACATAGGTGTGCATATATTTTTTTCTGATTGGTGTTTCAGGTTTCATAGGATATATTCCTAGAAGTGGGATTACTGGGTCAAATGGCAGTTCCCTATTTAATTTTTTGAGGAAATTCCATACTGTTTTCCATAATGGCTGCACCAGTCTGCATTCCCACCAGCAGTGTACTAGGGTTACCTTTTCTCCACATCCTTGCCAGCACTTGTCATTTGTTGATTTGTTGATGGGAGCCATTCTGACAGGTGTGAGGTGATACCTCATTGTCATTTTAATTTGCATTTCTCTGATGATCAGTGACTTAGAGCATTTTTTTTCATATGTCTCTTGGCCATCCACTTTGGAAAAGTGTCTATTTAGGTCTTTTGCCCATTTTTAAATTGTATTGTTTGTCTTCCTTTTGTTAAGTTTTATGAGTTCCTTATATATTTTGGATAGTAAGCCTTTATAAGATGTATCATTGCCAAATATGTACTCCCATAGAGTGGGCTCCCTTTTCATTTTGTTAATGGTTTCTTTTGCTGGGAGAAGCTTTTTATTTTGATGTAGTCCCATTTGTTTATTTTCTCCTTGGTTTCCTTTGCCCTAGGAGATGTATTGGTAAACATATTGCTATGAGAGATGTCCGAGATTTTGCTGCCTATGGTTTCTTCTAGGATTTTTATGGTTTTCCAACTTACATTTAGGCCTTTTATCCATTTTGAGTTTGTTCTTGTGTATGGTGTAAATTGGTGGTCTAGTTTCATTTTTTGCATGTATCTGTCCAATTTTCCCAAATTTATATATTTAAATAATATACTTTCTTATGGAATTTAAATAACATTTTTATATTCCACCTAATAATCTTTTAAAACTAAATAAAGCATTTTGCCTCTCTAAATATTTCATGTAAATACTGATATGTTTGGGTTTTTAATCTTCCATCTTACTATTTATTTTGTAGTATCTGACCTGTTTCATGTCTCTTTCTCTCTCTTTCTGAATTCTTTTAATTTTTTTTTTTTTTTTTTTTCCCCCCCCCCCCCCCCAATTAGTTTGTTAACTATACATTTCTCTACCCTTCTTTGATTGGTTATTTTGGGGAATATTGACTTGTTAAAACCCAATAGAATTTAGAACTTTTACAACTTCCCAGATAATGCAATTGAGCATATATCAATTCTCATCCTTTGTGCTATCGTTTGGGGGTATTTTAATTGTTCATATATTTAAATACCAAAATGTATCATTGTTGTTTCTGTTATTTGTAGTAATGTTTTTTTAACTTACCCTTTCTGTTGACTTTCATTTCTTTATCCATTTTCAAACTTTCATTTTTCTTCTCCCTAACGAAATTTCTCCTAGTGTAGGTGTACAGATGGTCAGTTCTTTTAAATTGTTTTGGTCATAAAATATTTTAATTTTTGAAGAACATTTTTGCAGTATTCCTAATTCCAGTTTGGTGGGTTTTCCCTTCATCACTTTGACAGTAGCAATCTTTGACAGTGGCTTTTGACTTTCATTATTTCTGCTGAAAAGATATGTGTCAATTTTATCAGTGGTTCTTTGAAAGAAACACATCTTCTCCCTTTACCTCTGCTGCTGTTAAGATTTATTCCTTCTATAGCAGTTTTATTATTATGTGCCTTGGTGTTGCAATTTTGTTTTTATCGTCTTGTATTTTCCCAAGAGTCTTGAATCTGTGGATTAATGCTCTTCATCACTTTTGGAAAATTTTTGGCCATCATCTCTTCAAGTATTGAGGTCTCATCCCCTCTCATCTTTTTTTCTCATTCTCTAATTACAAGTATATTAGATGTTTAACATAATCAAATTAGATGTATCTTAAATTCTGTATCTGAGAATTCCAAAATTTGGATTTTTCTGGGTCTCTTTCTATTATCTGTTTTTTCTGTCATAGTTTCGAGCCATTTTATAGTTATTTTTTAATGAATATTAAACTTTGTATATGAAATATTGCAGAGATGATTAAAGCTCTGACTATTTTCTTTGCTATAGCTTCATTTATTTTATTTTACTATTCTTTTGTTAATCCTCACCCGAGGATATTTTTCCCATTGAGTTTTAGAAAGAGTAGAGAGAGAGAAACATCCATGTGAGGGAGACAGGTTGCCTTCCACATAAGCCTGACTGGGGCCATGGATCAAACCTGCAACCCAGGTACATGCCCTTGACTGGGAATAGAACCCATGACCCTTTGGTGCGCAAGCCAACACTCTAACCACTGAGAATACCGGCCAGGGTGCAGTAGCTTTATTGTAATATAATTCACATACTATGCCATTCACCCATTTAAAATGTGTGATGATTTTTAGTATATTCACAAAGTTTATGTAGCCATTAGAAAATCAAAAGTGTATCGAAGTGTCAGGCTTAATCCTCTTTACTTTCAACTTTTACTGGATCTTGGTCCTACAAATTCTAATGACTTAGTAGCTCTTTGATGTCTTCAAAAATTTTTAACAATAATTTGTGCAAATTTTCTTCAGGTTCTCAGAAACCACCTAGATCATTGCTAGAATCAAAACCTCTTATTATCCAATTTTATACTATCACCTCATTTTTTACAACTGTATTTCCAAATCCTCTTTGTCATTAACACTCTTGTCAAATGGCCTGAAATTAATGTGCTTTGACCCCAAAGTGCAAGAAAGCACAATTCCCCACCCTCATCATATAGCCTTAGATGTTTTCTATAGAAAGAGAGAAGAGATCCTGACTTATCTGTCAACTAGAGTTTCTATCTCTTTTTCCAGAAGATATATTTCTCCTGAAGAAAGGTAGGAATTCTATTCCCATTCTAGAATTTCCCCACATTTTCTTGATCCTTTTATGTTTGGGTAAATACTACAGAATAAGCTTTGGATATCAGTGATAGTGAGGGAGTCCTACTTACCTCTTAATCTATGACAATACTACATCATCTATCACAGCTAATGGTATAAGTTATCCAATGGTAATAGTTATATATTAATAGTCTGTTTTTTATGTTTCATAGGCAATAAAATAATATTTATCCTTGAGCTTATTATTGCCTTTTACCCTATTTAATTAGTCTCAAGGCTCATTAGTCTGTGTTACATTAGTTTATCTCTTTTAACATTAACAACCATAACTGTCACTGTATGTGGCACTGTCAGCATCTGTTTAATTCAGCAGGTAATCATTGAAGGCAACCATTAAGAGTTCTTTCAATAAGCCTCGCCTATAATATTATATTGAACCATATAATGTTGATAACATTCAATATTTTTATCTATCAAATAAGTAATTTTATAAGGTTAAACCTAGTATAAATATACTAGGTTAAATTTAATATGAGTGAGGAAATATAATTTGAACATTATCAAGACAAGATTAACAAAGCTTCCAATCATGAAACTTCAATTCAGAAGATGATTCTTTCTTGCTTAACTATGTAACAAATTTTGGAGACATAAATCCCTAAATCTGCTGAAATCTTGACTAGAGCTTTATTTCCCCATGTTTTATTATTTTTGAATTCAGGGCTCTATTCACATTTTAGTGCCAAATTCTTCCCATTCAGCTTCCTCCATCCATTTTGAGTGAGCTATGTAGTATCTCATTGAAAAAGAACATAGTTAAAACTAGAAACTGAGATAAAGTGATTGCTAAATAGTCAAAAATAAATGGCACAAAAATCCCCATTTAAAACACATGCACTTTCAAAGAGTATCTCAGGAAAGAAGCAATTGCTATGAGAATTTATGTTTTCCATCAATGGTTAAAGAAAATTCAAAGCAGCAAATGAAGAGGGGATGAGAGGTTACAATGAACAGAGAAATGACATCAGAAATAGAAAAACAAAACAAAAACCTGTCATGAGCAGTCCTAAGGATGAAAAATACACAATAGTTCATGCCATTTAATAAAACTGCATATTTTCTTAAGGTTCATCTACAATATATAGGCCTAGTTTTTATATTATATCCAAGAACTATCATTGCTAATCATAACCTTTTGTTAAACTTAAATTGCAATGAAAAAATGTAAAATGTATTCAGAAGCTATACAGAAAGAAGTGAGTTCATACAGTAGTCCCCCCTTATCCTTAGGATATACATCCTCAGAATCCCTGTGGATGCCTGAAACAACAAATAGTACTGAACCCTACATATACTGTTTTTTTTCCTATGCATGTACACCTATAATATGGTTTAATTTATAAATTAGGCACAGCAAGAGATTAACAACAGTAAATAATAATAAAATAGAACAGTTATAACAATGTACTGTAATAAAAGTTATGCGAATGTGATCTCTCTCAAAATGTCTAAGCACTTATCACATACTTGGCTGTAACTGTTGTCCTTTGAGGTGTGACAGCAAAACTAGCACAACATTTTTTTCTTCTTCTTCACAATTTCATGAATAGAAGCGTTATTCTTACCATAGATCTTAGCAACCTCAGCATATGATTTCTTTTTCTTTCCTTATTGAGAATGTTCCATGTTAGGGTTGCTGAAGGTGGTATGCATGAGGCCAAAAGTGGTAAAGAATTATACATTTATTAGATCATCTGTAAATGGGCTGAGCCCCAAAATGGCACCAGCACCCAGGGATGGGGAGTCAGAGATTTTAAAGGACTCTAGGTGAGCTTTTTCAGCTGGAAATTCTCTGGGTGGGTCTGGATCTTGGGCAAGTCTGGAGGGGAAAGTTACTGGTCTTAGCAAATAGAATGTGTAAGCGAAAGAGAATGTCGGTTGTGAAATTATCTAAGGTTCAGTTTCCCAGGGGAGGGGGTATTGATTCCATTATTTAATCAGACTTAACAATTCCTTTGTACTTAAAGAAAGCACCTTATAGTTTATCTTTGGCATATTCTAGTTGCCAGCATCACTACTCTTGCATGTGGGGCCATTATAAAGTAAAATAAGGGTTACTTGAACACAAACACTAAGAAACCTTGAGTGTGGATATGATAGCAGAGATGGCTCCTAAGTGACCAGTGGTCAGGTAGGTAGCACTGGGCAAAGGGATGATTCACATCCCTGGCAGGGAGAAGTGGGATGGAGCAAACAATGTGAAACAGCTTGAGATTTCATCATGCTACTCAAAACAACACACAATTTAAAACGTATAAATTGTTTATTTCTGAAATTTTTCATGTAATATTTTCAGACTGTTGTTGACCTCTGGTAACTTGAGATTGCAGATAAAGGAGGGACTACTGCAATACAATTTAGAAACTCTGTAATCAAAATAGCTACAGTAAAAAGTGTTGATACTTACAATTTTATAATTTGTTTTTTCTTAAGAGTACAGGCTCTGAAGTCAGAACTGAATTTGCTTTTCAGTTTTGCCACTTTCTATCTTAGGGAAATTTTTTTTGACATCTCAGAGCTTTCATTTTCCCATTAGTATCTGATAACTGAATTCTCCTAGTGGATGTAAATAATCCTTATGAAATGCTTATTACATTGCTTAGAATGTTAATCTCAAATACTAATAATTATGATTACAAATGTATTTTAGAGGGTATTAAAGAGTTTTTGGAAATTTCATTTAGTAATTGGGCAATTTTTCTTCAAGTGACTATATTATATTTACTTTGTTTAAAATTTTTTTAGATACCTAAATCTAGGTGAATATTTAGGTGGTTATATCTTTTTTTATTCTTGAGAGTAATAGTATAATATTAAGTATTATCTGTCTTCAATTTGAATATGCAATAGTATATTCTTTTATAAAGTGGGATATAGCAAATAATTTCATAATATCAATTTGAATGTCAAAAAAACCAACAACAATCGTGTATCAAAAGAGCATTGGAGATTAAAGGTGCCAAAATGGCAGCACAGTATATAGTAAAGAAGGATAGTCATAAAGAACATGTTTTGGGCAACCCACTTGGGTCCCCTCCCTGCAGCAGGGAGCTTTTCTGTAGTAAAACTTTGCTTTCACTCAAAACAAAAACAAAAACCATGTTTCTGGTTTGTGTTTTTCAGGTACTTCTGGCTTTCCCTATATGTGGCTGGCTACAGTTTTACTTGTAATTTTTCTCTGTATTATCATTCTTTATATTGTTCGGAGAAAGAAAAAGTAAGTTGTATGACTACTTATCTGTGATAGAGAGTAGTAAAATATGGACATTTTCAAATCTGGAAAATATTTCCAAGGGCTCTAGCAAAATATGTCATGGAAAGAAACATCATGGAAAAATCTTCTCCATATGCTTGGTAATTCTTGCAGTCAAAGGTTTATCTTTGATATTCTAATTGAGAATGATTTAAAGGTAAGCTGCTAGTAATTATTACTGCTTATGGTGAATTGAGTTTAAGATTCTTTCTTGAAGACAGATTTTTAACAGGAGAGAACATGAACTTTAGACAACTCGGGGGAGGGGATCACTAAGTTGTGAAGCTTGAGATACATCTACTGAAAAAAGCCACAAAAAGATGAAAGTGATGTTACTTTACAGGATTAATATAATAATTTATCAACTCATTTATTCAACAAATACTTCTAGAGTGTCTGCACTATGTACTGTTCTCAGTGTCAGAGATATGGGCACAACTAAAACAGACAGGTTCTTTGCCTTCAGAAGCTTACATCTCAGTGGGGACAGGTAGTCGATGAAAAGATATAAAACAGAGATTCCAAGATGCCAGAGGATTAAGTGGAAGCTACATTGACATTCTCCCAGAATCAACCTGGAATTACAACAAAAATATAGAAATATCATCTTGAGTAACCAACTGAAGACTGCTGGAGAGAACCATTAAGGCCAAGGACATAAAGAGAAGGCCACAGCAATACTGGAAGGAAGTGCAGAGGTGTGAGAGGGCTGGCTGGGTTTCCACAGGCAGCAGCTGAAGTTCCAGAGGGATATCTCAGTTGCGGGGGTTCTCCCTGAAAAGTCTGAGGTCTAAACCCAAACTAGGCTCCAAGCCCAAAGGACCAGAACTTGGAAAGATGCCCATATAACACCTGGCTGTGAAAGCAATGGGGTTGCTGTCTGCCAGAGATAGGCAGCTGGAAATGCAGGCACCCCATTAAAGGGTCAATACACAAAATCTCCTGTGCAGCCACTCACCTTGGGCTGCAGCAGAGAGAGGGCAGAGTGGACTAGAGTTGTGTGAGGAGGATCTGGGGATAGAGCTCAGAGGACAACCACCTGGATCCCTATGCTGAATCATTCCCCCAAACTACAGAGGACATCTTTCTCAAGCTAACCTTTATCATCATGCAGCTTTTGCCTAGGGGGAAGCAATTACCACACCCACTAGAAAATCTCTCACCCTACCATATGGAATTTACACCCTGCTGTGTAACAATCATCCTGTAGGCAGAAGCAGATCTCTGGATGCTTTTAGTCTTTGTCTGATCTGCTTCTAGACCCAGGCTAGGAAAAGCAGACTTTGGTGTGCATCTTGGTCCGTTCCAAATGCACACAACCCCAGCAGAGTGAGCCACAGCTATAGATCGCTGATAAATCCAAACAGGAAGCTATAGACAAGTGGAAGAATATACCGTGTTTGTGAATTGGTAGAATTAACATCATTAAAATGTCCATACTGCCCAAAGCAATTTATAGATTCAAAGCAGTACCTATTAAAATACCAATAGCATATTTAACAGATCTAGAACAAACACTTGAAAAATTTATATGGAACCAAAAAAGACCCTGATTAGCTGCATCAATCTTGAGAAAGTTGGAGGGATCACAATATATATATATCAAGTTATACTACAAAGCCATTGTAATTAAAACAACCTGGTACTGGCAAAAGAACTCTCATATAGCTCAATGGAACAGAACAGGGAATCCAGAAATCGACCCAAGCCATTATGTAAAATTAATATTTGACAAAGGAGGCAAGAGCAAACAATGGAGTTAAGACAGTCTCTTCATTAAATAGTGTTGGGAAAATTGAACAGGTACATGCAAAAAAATGAAACTAGACCACCAACTTACACCAAACACAAAAATAAACTCAAAAAAGATACAGGACTTAAATGTAAATCTTGAAATCATAAAAATCCTAGAAGAAAAAGTAGGCAGCAAAATATCAGACATGTCATGTAGCAGAATTTTCACTGATACAATGCATAGGGCAAGAGAAACAAGAAAAAGTAAACAAACGAGATTACATCAAAATAAAAAGCTTCTGCACAGCAAAAGAAAACAGCATCAAAATGAAAAGGGAATTCATTGTATAGGAGAACGTATTTGCCAATGATACCTCTGATAAGGGGTTAATTTCCAAAATATATAAAGTACTCATACAACTCAAAAGGACGACTAACAACACAATTAAGAAATGGGCAGAGCACCTGAATAGACACTTCTCCAAAGAGGACATACAAATTGCCAAGAGACATGAAAAAAATGCTCAAAATCACTAATCATCAGAGAGATGCAAATTAAAAGGCCAGTAAGGAATCATCTCACACATGCCAGAATGGCTATCATCAATAAATCAACAAACAACAAGTACTGGCGAAGATGTGGAGAAAAAGGAATGCTAATACACTGCTGGTGGGAATGCAGACTGGTGCAGCCATTATGGAAAATAGTATGGAGTTTCCTCAAAATATTAAATATGGAACTGCCATTTGACCCAGTGATCCCACTTCTAGGAATATATCCTAAGAAGCCTGAAATGCCAATCAAAAGAATATATGCACTGCTGTGTTAATAGCAGTGTGATTTACAACAGCCCAAGTGCTCATCAGTAGATGAGTGGATAAGAAAGCTGTGGTGCATTTACACAATGGAATACTATTCAGCTATAAAAAAGAAAGATCTCTTACCTTTGGAGACAGTATGGAGGGGCCTGAATAGTATTATGCTAAGTGAAATAAGCCAGTCAGAGAAAGACAAATGTCACATAATCCATCTTCCATGTGGAACCTAATGAACAAAACAAATTGACGAACAAAATAGATCCAGAGACATGGAAGCATGAACAGTCTAAGGATTCTCAGAGGGAAGAGGGTGAGTTGGGTAAGAGAATTTATGTGCATATATGCATAACCCATGGACACAGACAATTATGTGGGGAAAGCCTGAGGGGGATGGTATGGATGGGGTTAATGGGGCACATCTGTAATGCTTTCAACCATAAAGATACATTAAAAAAAAGAGTGATCTTTGTCTGTCATGTAAAGACACAGGGAGGTGACTATTGTAAACCAGGAAGAGGATTCTCACAAATTTAAACATGTGGGTACTTTGATCCTGCACTTCCAATCTCCTGAACTGTGAGAAATAAATGTGTGTGTTATCATATTACAAAATACAGCTGGAGGAGAGATTCCAAAATGGTGGTGGAGTAAATGGAAGCCACACTGACACACTCCCAGGACCAAATTGGAATTACAACTAATATTAAACCATCCTGAACAATCAAATGAAGACTAGATGGAGAGAACCCTGATAACCAAGGGTGGTAAGTGGAGACCACATAGAGATTGGTAGGAAGTGTAGAAGCATGAAAGGGCTGGTCATGCTCCCACAGATAGCAACTGAAATTCCAGAGGAATATCTCAATTGTAGGGGGTTCACACTGAGAATGCTGGGTTCTAAAACCCAAGCTGGGCTCCCCAGTCCAGAGCACCAGAACTGAGAAAGTTGCCCACATAACAGCTGGCTGTGAAAAGTAGCAAGATTGCTGTCTGCCAGGGAGAGATGGCTGGAGATGCAGGCATCCTCTTAAGAGCCAATGCACAAATTTTTATGTGCAGCTACTCACCTTGGACTCTGGCTGAGGGAGGGTAGAGTGGTCTGGAGTTGAGTGAGCAGAAGCCAGGTTTGGGGCTCTAGGTTTACACTTCCAAGAGCAGACATCCCAATTTCCTGTGCTGAGTCATTCCCTCACACAGTATGGAGTACATCTTTCTCCAGCAGACCTTTGCTATCTAGGTGGTTTCTGCCTGGGGGAAAGGCAGTTGTCCCACCCTATTGGAAAACCCCTTGCCCTACCCTGTGGAGTTTCTGAGGCCCATTAAAAGACTGAGAATAGCAATCACCTGTGGGCAGAAGCAATTGCCCCACCCTATTGGAAAATCTCTAGTGATCTATTGCCTGGCACTAATAAAGACTGAATACAATAAGACTGCTAGCAGAGTGGAGTCTCTAGAGGCTTTGAGTCTTTGCCTGATCTAATCCAAGGCCTGGGGCTAGGAAAAGAAAACACTGGTGCACATCCTGGTCCAATCCAAAGGCACCCAGCCCTAGCAGAGAAAGCTATAAGCTGTGGATTGCTGATAGCTCCAAACACGGTACTCAGAGCCAGTCAGAAACAGTGTCTGGAACTGTCCTGCATAGCATATTGGGAGGCATAGCAGATCTACCTAATACACAGACACAAACCCAAACAGGCAGCCAAAATGGGAAGACTAAAAAACAAGCCACAAACAAAAGAACAAGAGAATTCTCCACAAGAAGAGCTAAATGAAATGGAGATAAGAAATTTATTAGACATAGAGTTCAGAATAATGATGGCAAAGATGCTAACTGGCATGAGAAAAGACATAGTAACTAAGAAGAATGACATAGCACTAATAAAGAAGCCAGTGGAAGGAATATACAGCAGATTAGTGGAAGCCAAACATTGCATCAATGAATTAAAAGATAGTGAATCAGATAACTAAAGAGAAAAACACACACAATTAAAATACTGTTACCTGCACAAGCCGGTTTGGCTCAGTGAATAGAACGTTGCTCTGCTCACAGAAGGGTCCCAGGTTAAATTCTGGTCAAGGGCACATACCTCATTGCAGGCTCAATCTCTGGCCCTGGACAGGGTGCATGCTGAAGGCAACCAATCAATGTGTCTCTCTAACATTGATGTTTCTCTCTGTGTGTCTTTGTCCCTCCCTTCCACTCTTTTTAAAGGCAATGAAAAAATATCCTCAGGAGAGGATTAACAAAAAAGAAACAAACAAAAAAACTGGCGGACAGCTTAAGGGAATTGTGGGACAACATGAAATATAACAATATTCGCATCATAGGAGTACCACAAGGGGAAGAATGTGAGCAAGGGTTCGAGAACCTGTTTGAAGAAATAATGGCAGGAAACTTCCCTAAGCTGGTGAAGAAAAAAGTTACACAAGGTCAGGAGGCACAGAGAGTTCCAAGCAAGAAGAATCCAAACAGGCTCACACCCAGACACATCATAATTAAAATGCCTAAAATTAAAGACAAAGAGAGGCCCAGCTGGCATGGCTGAGTGGTTGAGCATTGACCTATGAACCAGAAGGTCACAGTTCGATTCCCGGACAGGGCATATGTCTGGGTTGCAGGCTCGATCCCCAGTAGGGGGCATGCAGGAGGCAGCCAATCAATGATTCTCTCTTATCATTGATGTTTCTATCTCTCTCTCCCTCTTCCTGTCTGAAATCAATAATATATATATATATTTAAAAAAAGACAAAGAGAGAATCTTAAAGGCAGCAAGAGAAAAGCAATTTGTTAGCTACAATGGAGCTCTGAGAAGCTGATTTTTCATTAGAACCTCTATAGGCAAGAAGAGAATGGCATGAAATATTCAAAGTAATAAAAAGCAAGGATCTGACATCAAGATTATTTTATCTAGCAAGGCTATCATTTAAAATAGATAGTGAAATAAAACATTTCCCAGACATAAAAAGGCTAAAGGAGTTTATCACCATCAAACAAACACTGGAAAAAATGCTAAAGGAACTACTGTAATGTGAAGAAAGAGAGAGAGAGAGAGAGAGAAACATAGGCATAAAGAATCAAAATGGCAATGAATAAGTACTTATCAATAATAATCTTAAATGTAAATGGATTAAATGCTCCAATCAAAAGACATAGTGTAGGTGAATGGATATGAAAAAATAAACCAAATATATGCAATCTACAGGGACGCACTTCAGAACAAAAAAGCTCACATAGGATGAGAATGAAGGGATAGGAAAAAATTTCCATGCAGATGGAAAAGAAACAAAAGCTGAAGTAACAATATTCATACCTGACAAAATAGACTTCAAAATTAAGGCCATCACAAGAGACAATAAAGGTCTCTCTATAATACTAATGGGATGGATCCCACAAGAGGATATAACCCTAGTAAGCATATATGCACCCAATATAGGAGCACCTAAATACATTAACAAAACTTCTGGAGGACTTTAAGGGAGAGATTGACTGCAATACAGTCATAGTAGGGGATTTTAACTCCAAAGTCACATAGTGGGACTTTATACCACTGATTTCACTGGATAGATCTTCCAGACAAAAATTAATACGTAAATAGTGACCAAATGACACACTGAATCAGATGGATTTAATTGACATTTATAGAACATTTCACCCCAAAGCTCCAGAATATCATTCTTCTCAAGTGCTCATGGGTCAGTCACAAAGATAAAACACATGTTAAGACACAAAACAAGTCTACGAATTCAAGAAGATTTAAATCATACCAACCATCTTCTTAGATCACAATGGAATGAAAGTAGAAATCAACTACAGTAAAAACACTCAAAAACATTCAAACACATGGAGGCTAACTAGCATGTTATTAAACAAAGAAAGAAATACAAATCTTACTGGAAACAAATGAAAATGAACACACAACAACTTCAAATTTCTGGGACACAGTGAACACACTCCTGAGAGGGAAGTTCATAGCATTACAGGCCTAACTAAAAAACAAACAAACAAAAAACAAGAAAAATTAGTAATAAACTACTTAACTCTACAATTAAAGAATTAGAAAGAGAAAAACAAGAAAAGCCTGGAGTAAGTAGAAGGAAGGAAATAATAAAGATTAGAGAAGAAATAAATGACATAGAGACTAAAAAAAAAAAAAAGGAAATACAAAATATCAATGACCAAGAGCTGGTTCTTTGAAAAGATAAACAAGATTGATGAACCTTTGGCCAGACTCATCAAGAAACAAAGACAGAGGACCCAAATAATTAAAATAAAAAACAAAAGGTAAGTGAAATAAGCCAGTCAGAAAAAGACAAATATCACATGACCTCACTCATATGTGGAATCTAACAAACAAAATTAACTTTTGAAGAAAATAGATTTAGAGACATTGAAGCATGGAACTGACTGTAGAATCTTAGAGGGGAAGGGGGAGGTGGGTTGGTGGGTAGGAGGCGATCAACCAAAGAACTTGTATGCATATAGGCATAATCCATGGACACAGACAATAGGGGAGTGAGGGCCTGAGGCAGGGGGCAGGGATGGGCTATAAGCGATCAATGGAAGAAAAAATAGGACATATATGTAATAGACATATGTATTACTTTCAACAATAAATATTAATAAATAAATTAATAAAATAAAATATATACTGCTGGAATTTTTATTAGTCTTACATTGAATTTGTAATTTAATTTTGCAAGCATTGATATCTTTAGAGTAATTTGCTCCACCCATATATTTGTTCTCCACTTATACAAGTCTTTCTGAATGTCATTTAAGAAAGTTTTTAAATGTTCTCTCTGTAGGTTTCATGTAATTTTTACAAAGTCAATTCCTTGGTATTTGTTCATTATAATAATGAATGGTTTCTTCTTTTTTTTTTAATTAAAAATGTATAGCTGTTATTAATGGTTTAGGAACAGTTCTGATTTTGTAAATTAACCTGTATTTGGAAACTTTGCTAAACTCTATTAATTCAAAGTTTTTCTGTTGATCTAATGGTTTTCCATGTAGATGATCATCTTTTTTTTGCACATAATAACATTTTTTGCTTCTTTCCAATCCTTATACCTTTTTAATATAAAATATCATAAACAACAGTTATATTTGCCTTGTTTCTGAATTTAAAGACCATGTCTAAAATTTCTCCAAGTATGATATTTTGCCATTAAGCATATTATCAAGTTTAAAAAATGTTTTACTATTTCTATTTTCTATGGCTTTATCATATATAGATTGTTGAACTTGTTGAGATAGTCATATGGATTTTCTATAGTAGTTCACTAATATGATAAATTAAATTGACATATTTTCTAATGTTAAACCATTCTGGGAAGTTTATTTATAAGTTAAGCTAGAGTATAACTTTATTTTTTAAAATTTTTTTCTGACTTTGAAACAATTTTTTATTTTTAATTTTTTAGATGGAAAGGAAGAAAGAGAGAGAAAAACATGGATGTGAGAGAGAAACATCGATCAACTGCCTTCTGCATGTGCTGCATTCAGGGATCAAACCCATAACCTGTGCATATGCCTCCACCAGGATTGAACAAAGGATCTTTAAGTTCATGAGATGATGCTAAACCAACTGAACTACACCATCCAGGGCTTGAAATTAAGATTTTAGTTAAAAATTTTGAAATTAATACTGGCCTCAAAAAAAAGTTTACTCATTTAATATTTCTTCTTTTAGAAACATATATAATAGAGAGATTTCTATTCCTTAACAATCCTCTGAGTCTATAGATTTTTTTTGAAAGAAAATTTTCTCAATTAAAACTTGGTGGCTTTCAAAGGTATTGGCTTTTCTATTTTAAAATATTTATGCTGATTTTCTTTCACTCTGTATGTTGCCCTTTCACTCTATTGTTTCCTCTGTTGTGCAGAAGCTTTTCAGCTTAATAGAGTCCCACTTGTTTATTTTGCTTTTTGTTGACTGTGCTTTTCGTGTCACATCCATGAAATCATTGCCAAACCTATATCATGAAGCTTTTCCTCTATGTGTTCTTCTAGGAGTTTTACAGTTTTAGGTATTGTATTTAAATTTTTAATCTATTTGAATTGACTTTTCTGTATGGTGTACAGTATGGGCCTAATTTCATTCTTTTGCATGTGGATATACTATTTCCCCAACATCATTTGTTTAAGAGATTATCCTTTTCCTATTGTATTTTTCTTGGCACCCTTGTCAAAGAGCAATTGAACATGTATGTGTGGATTCATTTCTGAATTCTCTATTAGTCCAAATGCCTGTCTTTTGCAGTTGCCATACTGTGTTGATTACTGTAGCTTTGTACTATATTTTGAAATCAGAAAGTAGGATGCCTCCAGCTTTATTCTTTCTTTCTCAAGACTGATTTGGCTATTCATGGTCTTTTCTGTTTTTTATGAATTGTGGAATTGTATTTTCTATTTCTGTTAAAAATGTTTTGGGGATTTTGATAAAGTTTGCATAAAAAGCCTAACGAGTCTTTAAGGAGCAAGGAAAAGAAGAAAAAAACGGAGTCCAAAGTTGCAGAAGGAAGAAAGCAACAAAGATTAGAGCATAAATAAAGTAGAAAACAGGAAAATAATAGAGAAAAATCAACAAAACTTAGAGTTTGTTTTTTTGAAAATAGAAACAGAATTGAGAAACCATTAGCTAGAGTAAGAAAAATAAATAAATGAAGTTAAATAATGAAGGAAGAGACATTATGACTTATGCCACAGAAACTTAAAAAATCATATTTACTACTGCAAAAAATTATATGCCAACAAACTGGATAATCTAGAAGAAGTTGATAAATTCCTAGAAACATACAACATATGGAGATTAAATCATGAAAAAGTAGAAAGTTTGAAAGTCATCCAAAGAAACCTGAAACACTGAATTAAAAAAATATATGCATCCTACATTTATTGTAACAGCCAAAAATATGGAAGAAACTCAAGTGCCCATTAATAGTTGAGTGGATAAAAAAGTGATGCTACATATATATGTACTAGAGGCCCAGTGCATAAAATTCATGCACTGATAGGGTCCCTAGCAGCTGCCAGTTGGGGCCTCCCTCCCTTCCCCTGGTCAGCCCCACCTCCTGGTCAAACTTACGGAAGAACCCCGGTCAAGGGGACAATTTGTATACTATGCTTTTATTATATAGCATTACTTGGCCAAAAGAAGAATGAAATCTTACCATTTGTGACAGCATGGATGAACTTAGGGGGTATTATACTAAGTGAAATAAGTCAGACAAAGAAAGACAAATACCATGTGATTTTACTTATACTAGAGGCCCGATGCGCAAAATTCGTGCAAGGGGCTCTGCCACAGTCCCCGCCCACTGAGGCTTTGTCCAGAAGGAAGGACGTCCAGTCTAATTAGCAAATTACCCTGTTATTATTATAGATGTGGAATCTAATGAAGAAAAAAAACTGATGAACAAAATAGAAACAGACTTATTGTTGCCAGAGGGGAGAGGGTTTGAGGGATTGGTTGAAAAGGTGAAAGGATTAAAAAACACAAATTGGCAGTTACAAAATAGTCACAAGGATCTAAAATACAGCATAGGTAATGTAAGTCAATAATTTTGTAGTAACTATGTATGGTGGGTACTAGATTTATCAAGGAGATCATTTCTTAAGTTACATAAATGTCTAATCACTATGCTGTACACCCGAAGCTAATATAATATTGAATGCCAACTGTGACTGAAAAATAAAAGAAAATACGCCTCTGTATCCATATTTATAAAAGACAAAGTGGAATTCAAAGTTATTTTTTTTCCAACACTTTGACAATTTAACTCATGGCCTTCTTGCATACAGCACTGCCTTGTGACCTTTAATATCACTTTGATTCTCTCTCCTTTGAGTCTCTCTCTTTAAATTTTTAAAGCTTTTATAATTTTCTTAATTTGATCTTTTGAATTTCCCTACGTCTATAAATTAGCTTTTTGTTATTTATCTTGTTTGGCACTCCATGAATCTTTCAGTCCTTTCAATATGTACATATCATGTTTCTGATTTTCTGGGGGGGGAAATTAATCATAATCTTAGGGATTGCATCCCTCAGACTTACAGCTCCATGGATCCTTAAATAAAAATCTTGTTTCCCTACATGCCTGCTCAACGCAGCCGCTCCTTCAAATGCTGAGGGCTCAGCCTCATCGCCCCCATTTTCTTCCTCCGCTCTTTTAAAAATGGAAATGGAAAACGTGTATTTTTAACAAAAAGGAAAAGCACCTTTGAAAAGTGTTATGGAAATAGGAAAGAATGATTAAGAGACATTTGGGGCTAAACTGGAAATCCCACCTGCCGCTTTCTGCGCGTGCCTGCTGGTGGGAGGAGTGAATCGGACCAGAGGTGGTCAGCCTCGCTGGAGCTGCTGCTGCACAGTGCGCTCCGGCGGCGGCGTGAGATCCCCTGGGCTTTCCAGCTGAAGCCGGACACCCTGCTCGGCCAGGAGCGAAGATGGAGAGGCGGGTGAGCGGGCCCGGGCGTTGGAAGGAGGGCGCAGGGTGGGAAATGTGGCCCCGGTGGCCTGGGGCGGCGGCGGGCTGAGTGCGGCGGGCTCGCACCATCTGCTCTGGAGGGAGCTAGGTTTTCTGTCGGCGCTTTCTTCTTAGCGCTTAATCTTGCTGAGAAGAGGATGTTCCCTTCCCAAGGGCGGCCTCCAAGCTGCCTGACATTCTGGTTCGCTGTTTCAATTCCTTGAAAACAGAATGCTGCCCGGCTCCAGGGATGCTTCTCCCCAGATCATTGTCATCATGGGAGTGGACCTGGGCCGGAAGGCAGGGGTCCGTCCTCTCAGCGGGCTGGCGGGGGAGAGGCTCCCTGGCTCCGTCTGGAAGGAAGGCTAGAAAACACATTCTATTTTAAGCTGCCCCTAAAGGGGATAGCGGCTGCTGTTTGACTCCTTGTTGACATCCAACAGCTGGGGTGGGGGCTGCAGAATCCAGGGCTCAGGGAGAGCTGGCTTCCTCCTGGGTGCGCTGGGTGGGCTCTTTCTTCATCCTCTGGGCCTTTGCTCGGGAAGCCATAAAGGATCAGATAAACCAGGGTTAAAACCCTGGGTATCTAGGAGAGACAGACATTTTGTGTGTTCAGGATCTGTTCACATGACGCCAAACGAAGGACAAAATGTTCATTTACATGGGGATAATGTATTAAACAATAAAATTACAATGAATAAAAATGAAAATCCAAATACAAGTAATGCCTGAAGGTAATTTTTTTTCATGTATATTTTATTGGCAAGACCACACAGCCAGTTACTTTGATATCTTTCTTAACAAAGGAGAATGGTCTTAACAAAGAACTGATGCTGCTCTTAATCTTCACCTGATCATGCAAATAAAGAAACAGCAGAGAGGTTAATTTTCCAAGTCCATGTGACTGCAGGTGGTGGGATCAGGATTTGGACCTAGGAATTTTCAGGAGAAGAGGTATGAATAGGGGCAGTGTTGCTGCCAGGTGGGCCGATGTCAGGGAAGACGCCAGCCTCAGTGAAACCTGGCCCTCTTGGCAAAGGGTAGAAGTGGACTTCATTCCATTATTGTACTCCCTGTATATGATTTGAATGATGAATTGTTTAGTTACCTAACATACGTTGGCATTTACTGTAGCTTAAGCACTGTATTAAGTGCCTAAAATGCTTACTTCTCAGAGCAACCCAGTGAGGTAACACCATTTATTTTTCACCCTCAATATTAGCTGTTGTGTGTGTTTTTTAATTATAGTTAATATTCAATATTATTTTATATTTGTTTAAGGTACACAGCGTAGTGGTTAGACATGGATATACCTTACGTAGCGATACCCCTGATAATTCTAATATGCACCTGGCACCATACATAATTATTAGAATATTATTGACTATATTCCCTATGCTGTACTTCATGCCCCTGTGACCATTTTGCAACTGCCAATTTGTACTTCTCAATCCTTTCACCCTTTGCACCCAGTCCCCCAAACCCTCTCCCCTCTGGCAAACATCAGTCTGTTCTTTGTATCTGTGAGTCTGTTTCTGTTTTGTTCATCTGTTAATTTTATTCTTTAGACTCTACATATAAGTGAAATCACATGGTATTTGTCTTTCTTTGTCTGACTTATTTCACTTAGCATAACACCCTCTAGGTCCATCCATGTTATTGAAAATAATAAGATTTCATTTTTTATGGCTGAATAATATGTAGATAAGTACCACTACTTTTTTATCCACTGGACTATTGATGGGCTCTTGGGTTGCCTCCATATTATGGCTATTACAAATAACGTTGCAATAAACATAGGGGTGCATATATTCCTTTGATTGAGTGTTTTGGGTTTCTTTGGATATATTTCCAAAAGTGCAATCACTGAGTCATAAGAAAGTTTCATTTATAATTTTTGTAACTGAAACTTCATACCTTTTTCCATAGTGGCTGCACCAATCTGCATTTCCACCAACAATTCACGAAGTTTCTTTTTTCTCCACATTCTCGCCAACACTTGTTGTATGTTGATTTATTGATGATAACCATTCTGACATGTGTGAGGTGATATATCATTGTGGTTTTGATTACTTTATTATTTTATTTTAATCCTCATCTGAGGACATGCTTAGAAAGAGGAAGGGAGGGGAGGGGAGGGACACACTGATGTAGGAAAAAGACAAAGACATCAATTG